GCATTAATGACGTATATTCGACCGGACGGTAGTTCAACTGACTCAGTTCCGCGATCAATAAAAGTAGAGTAATTCATGCTATGACGATTTTAACCGGAACCTTCTTTGCGTTACATGACCAACCGTACATCGAAAGTTGATCTGGGTTACTCAGAACACTAGTCTGGTACACTAGTGAAAGGCAACTACGTACTTAAAACGACTCTTCGCTATAAAAACCTTTCCGGGTTCCACAGAAAATAATACTTCGCTATCGAGTATGCTCGACGGAGAATAAAAGTCGGCGTGGAATTAGAAATGAAGTTGAATGTTAATAAACTCTTCCTAACAGTTAAGGTAGCCCATATGAGCTTCCTCGATTGGGCTCCGAGATGAATGTGCAACGCTCAGAGGATAGTAACGCGACATATGAGGACATCGTAACCGAAGAAACGTTACATTTTTCTTTACCTGCCAACATTCGCGTTCGACTAATTCAAGAAGCCGAACGCGCCAAGAATGAGAGGTTCAAAGAACAAGAAAAGTTACCAACTCACCGAAAAAGATCGTATCTGGATCTGCTGACGCGCGCTCAGTTCACGTCGTAACGGCTGAAAATAGAGAAGTCCATCAGAAACCCAGAAGACCCAAAAGATAGCTAGGCAATGACATGGACAAATGAACCGTCTGAAAAATTTGCTGCTCATTCTCAACATTACGTTACAGTAATTCGAAACTGAATGTTCCCTTCTACTACGGCACTTCGGACAGATGAATACCAAATCCGAGGCTTCCTGAGAGGCTTTCAATCTTGCTCTTACTGCGGGTGAATACCCGTGGCACTGCTATGAGCAAAAGGCAACTCAGAACAGCGTGGCGTTTAGAGCGGGGATTACATACGACTGCTTTCAAACTCACATACTCAACACGACATCCGTTCGTTGGAGCACAGTATGATTTTCCATCAAAGCAGCTTAACTGAAACAAGAAAAAGGCGTCAGTTCCATGGCGCGAGGAAACAACATAAGATCACAGAAAAATGTGATCAGATAGGCATTAAGATATCTTCAATGAAATTCGGTACAGGTCTGTGTAAACTCGTCATTTAGAAACAGAAACGGAAATAATTAGATGCGTACCTTCAGTGTAAAATTCGACAGACGGGCAGGAACGAGACTTCCAAAAGATAGGGCAAAACCTGCAAAATCAGTCGCACCTTTAGTCGAGAAGTACCGGAATGGAACCGACGAAGGTTGGCAATAGAAAATTTCAGTACAAAAAAAAATCTTCTCATTAATCATCAGAAGGTGTCCTAAGAGTTATCATCACGACGATTAAACGGACGAATTCAAAGTCGCGTAAGACGAACCTGATTCGCAACAATTCTCGATGAAAAGAAAAATTCGGTCAACGGTTCGACCGGGAGAATAATCCAGGTCAATATATGCCTCCAAGAATGCGAACATCAGTCAAGACAGATCCTGGCAGGAGCGACATTGACCTGCAAAATCCATCGAAGATTTAGTCGATTCGTATGTAGTACATGCAATTCATGGCAGATCGAAACAGTTGTCAGGACTTTATTGATCTTCTCATGGTTTATCAGAAGGTGTCCTAAGAGGTTCTTATCACTGTGAAACAGAAGACTACCACCCGAAGCAAAACTAACCTGATCCAGCTGGCACAACCTAGGCAGGCATGAAGTAGGGTCGTCGAAAAAACACGGTTGAATGGCAATTCCAAGCGATATCCGCAGCCAGCTCCTTGAAAGATAAACGTCGCAAGTGAACGGAGGGAGCAAATATCGAAAAAAGATTTCGTGAGAAGAATTCAGGAGAAGTTGAGAAATCATCTTATTCATTCGAAAGATGGTAAGATCATTGATCATCATGTCAAGCACGCACGAATAATGTCAGTGAACTCACGGGATTTTATTCGCCGGAGCGTAGCCAGCGACGGAGTACAAAACCAGAACAACCACACTGACACCGCATGTATCTCGATGGCATCCAGGCGCGATTTCCGACATCAATCGCTGAATTCCACGAACTCGACATCGTCTGAAATTAGATGGTGATCACATCATGATCGATAGACATGGGATTACACAGTACCGCGCCGTATTTCAGAGCTTAAGACCTTCAGCATGTTCCCCTCAGCCAATGGTCAATTGAACACAGGGTAGGACACTTCCGTCACGCTCAAGGTAGTGTAAGTCGAAACCGGAATAATCCTTGACGGTGTTCGCTCGAGAACAGGAAATAAGGTTATCATCATTGTAGAGACGATTCACAGATATACTGAAATGATATTTTCTATCCGCACGCGGAGGTAACCTCATTTCAGAATAAGAACTGGGTTAAGAAAACTCACAACACAGAATGAAGCTTGTCCAGAGCAACACCCAGTCCGGTTTAGCAGGCAGGGCGTACTCCCCAGGTACAGTGTACTCCAGAGTACACCCTACCTAGGCAGGGTGTACTCCAGAGTGGTAGGAGTACACTGTGCCTGACACACAGGTCCAGGCACAGTGTACTCCATCAGGCAGGGCTTACTCCCCCCAGAATTCCCAATTGCAGTGTTTCCCACCAGTCAGGGTGTTTTCAAGCAGTGTAGGTGTTTTCAGTTAAGGTTTTCCCCCCAGTCATGGTGTTTCATACCAGTGGGGGTGTTTCTCACTAGTGTTTTCAAGTTTTGCTGTTTTCAGTTGAGGTTTTTGACACCAGGGAGGTCAGTGGTGGTGTTTTCAAGTATAGTTGAGGTTTCTGCCACCAGCAGGAAGGCTCTTTGCCACCAGTGCAGGCGTTTCTCACTAGTGGGGGTGTTTTCAGGTATAAGTGAGGTTTCTGCCACCAGGGAGGCTATTTCCTACCAGTGGGGGTGTTTCCCACCAGTGGGGGTGTTTCTCACTACTTGGGGTGTTTATCACTATAGTGGGGGTGTTTTCAAGTTTAGGTGTTTTCAATTGAGGTTTTTGCTGCCAGGGAGGCCAGTGGGGGTATTTCCCACCAGTGGAGGTGTTTTGCACTAGTCAGGGTGTTTCTCCCTAGTTGGGGTGTTTTCAAGTTTATGTGTTTTCAGTAAATTTTTTGCTGCCAGGGAGGCAAGCAAAAAAGTTACTGAACCAGAAGTTTCTCACCAGTGGGGGTGTTTACCACCAGTGTTGGTGTTTCAAACACTCCCAACACTTTTGAAGTTTTTTTTCAAGTAATTCATTTTTACAAATGCCCACACACATGTATTGAATGTTGATTTTCAAAAGCACTGAATGGAGTTGGACTTTCACAAACGCACACTAAGAGTAACTTGAAAAAATATTTTGGTGTACATATTTCTTTTCATTTCTATTCTTCTGATTTCATAGAAAAATGGACAGTCAATTTTTTATTTACAAACACTCAAGTTTTTAAGACTTTTCAGGTTAATAAAGTTATTTTTCAAGATTTTTCAAGAGAATTTTCTGGTGATTTTTTTTCACAAATGCCCACACACATGTATTGTGTGTTGATTTTCAAAAACGCTGACTGGAGTCAGACTTTCAAAAACACATATGGTGAGAGTAAATTGGGAAAAGAAAATTTTGTGCTCATATTTCTTTTTATATTCATTTTTCTGATTTGTTAGAATGATGAATAATCAATTTTTTAATTTCAAACACTCACAATAACTTTTCAGGTTTTTAGGTTATTTTTCAAGATTTTTTTAAGAGAATTTTTCGGTAATTTTTTTTTCACAAACGCCCACAGGCATGTATTGTGTGTTGATTTTCAAAAACGCTGACTGGAGTCAGACTTTCACAAATGCATGGAGAGATTAAATTGAAAAAAAAATTTTGGTGCTCATATTTTTTTTATATTCATTTTTCTGATTTTTTAGAAAGATGAATAGTCAATCTTCTAATTTAAAACACTCACAATAACTTTTCAGGATTTTAGGTTATTCTTCAAGATTATTTCAAGAGAATTTTGAGGTAATTTTTTTTTACAAACGCCCACACACATGTATTGTGTGTTGATTTTCAAAAACGCTGACTGGAGTCAGACTTTGACAAACGCATGGAGAGATTAAATTGGAAAAAATTAAAACTTCTGAGCACCTGACGTGCTCAGCAGATTCAAGATTATTTCAAGAGAATTTTGAGGTAATTTTTTTTTACAAACGCCCACACACATGTATTGTGTGTTGATTTTCAAAAACGCTGACTGGAGTCAGACTTTGACAAACGCATGGAGAGATTAAATTGGAAAAAATTAAAACTTCTGAGCACCTGACGTGCTCAGCAGAGTGTCAATCCTTTCAGCAGACCTACGCACCACCGTACACCCTGGCCAATTTTGGGAAGTTATCAAATGATACCACCTGGATTTGGGCCACGCAAACTGGAAGAAGGTCCTACAAACAATCTGTGCACCGTTCACCTGGCCGCACATGAGTCACACAATCTGGAGGCAACTAGTGGATTGCCCAGAGTGTTTTACCTACAACAGCTCCATAAAGTCACCGGGGAAAAGATGCGCAGACTCCCTGCTGCCAAACCATACAACCAATTGTGTATTGACTTCTATGGGCCCCTTCCATGCTCCACCAAGCAGCACAAGTATATGCCTTTGTGGCCATCAACCAATTCTAGAAGTTCCTGATGGCCATCCCATTTCTACGAGCGGACACCAGCACAGCCATTGACGCAATCCACACCATTTTTCAGGATGTGGGGAAATTCTGGACAATACATTCCAACCGGGCCAAGGTTTTTAAATCACAGACTTTCCGCCAATTTGCGGCACAGGCTGGCTGTGAACAACACATTGCCCAGGGAAACCACCCCAAGGGCAACAGGAGGTGTGAACGCGCAATTCAAACCATAGGCCAAATCCAGGCCAAACTTGCAAAGGGCAACACAAAAAACTGGCATCAGTATACTTACCCACATCTGTGATGGCATACAACCTCACGCTGCATACAACCACCGGCGCAATGCCCAGCAAAATTTTCCGTGGCAAACCACCATGCCTACACGCAGATGACACTTTGGCGTGGACACGCCTGCTACAGTCAATCTCCAAGTGGTCCAACTACATCTCCTACACCAGCAGGCGCAGGTTCTCTGTCAGGCTAATTGCAGCCAACTCCCAATACCTTCCAACCAGGGGACATGGTAGCAGTTTGGCCATGTATGGCTTCCACAGATCTCCATGCTGCATCCCAACGTTTCCAAAAACAGCAACTCAGATGTTTCATGATCGTCCGGCTACACGCACCTGGATGATACGCAGTGGGCGTCGACACACAGATTGCGCTCCTCTCAGATTGGAAGCTCCAACCATGGACACACAGACCACAGGCACCCCAACCAGGATACAACAAGCACCTGACATACCTGCATCCACCAGCGCCACAACCGCAACCCACCATTGAGTCAGAGCACCACTACACGCGCAGCGGTGACAGCACAGTGACAACGGCAGCCATATGCAAGCACCTTTATTGCACGGCTGCCCACAACCGCGCACAGGGGCCATGTCAACTAACGGGGGCCAATGACCACACGGCAACAACCCTGGGGCCTACGGCCCCAATCAGCAACAGACACTTGGCAACAAGCATCTCTTTGGGGGGGTGAGAGTGAGAGATATCAATCTTGCAAGCTACTTTATTACACTTACTAGTAAGTGTTGCAGTCGGTTGTCAATATACTCCTGCCTTTTACGTGTACAATTGACCACCAACTGCATTAGCCTGCCAGAGAACCTGTGCCTGCTGGCGTCAGAGATGTAGTTGGACCGTGTGCATGGAGATCAACCATAGTGGGCGTGTCCACACTGAAGTGTTTGTCTGCATGTAGGTGTGGTGGTTTGCCCTGGAAAATTTTGCTGGGCGTTGCGCCAGAGGTCATATGTGGCGTGACGTTGTATGCCATCACAGATGTGGGTAAGTACTGATGCCAGTTTTTTGTGTTGCCCTTTGCCAGTTTGGCCCGGATTTGGCCTATGGTTTGAATTGCACGTTCACATGTCCCGTTGCCCTCGGGGTGGTTTCCCTGGGCAATGTGTTGGTCACATGCAGCCAGCCTGTGCCTCAAATTGGCAGAAAGCCCGTGATTTAAAAACCATGGCCCAGTCGGAATGTATTGTCCGGAATTTCCCCATGTCCTGAAAATGGTGTGGATCACGTCAATGGCTGTGCTGGTGTCCACTTGTAGAACAGGGATGGCTGTCATGAACTTTGAGAATTGCTTGATGGCCACAAATGCGTACTTGTGCTGCTTGGTGGAGCGCAGAAGCAGCCCATAGAAGTCAATACACAAACTGTTGTATGGTTTGGCAGCAGGGAGTCTGCGCATCTTTTCCCCTCCGACGTTGGAGCTGTTGTTGTAGGTAAAACACTCCAGGCAATCCACCAGTTGCCTCCAGATTGTGGGACGTATGTGCAGCCAAGTGAACCGTGCGTGTATTGTTTGTAGGACCTTCTTCCAGTTTGTGTGGCCCAACTCCAGATGGTATTGTTCAATAACTTTGCTAAATTGGCCAGGGTGTACGGTGGTGCATAGGTCTGCTGCAAGGATTGACACTCTGCTGAGCACATCAGGTGCCTGGAGCAAGGCCCCTGGTTGGTATTCCATCTTGCCCTGATACTGGCCAAGTTTCATCTGTAGGCGTATCAGGCATGAAGATTTGAGCTTGCCATGCAAGGGCTGGTGGTTGGTGATCATGCGGGATGCATGGTGCTCCAATAAGTAGCGTCTTAATTTTTTTTTCACGGCACAGACCATGGCCAGGAGTTTGCGTTCCATGTCGGTGTACCAGGTCTCTGCGTCTGTGAGCATGAGGCTGGCATACTGGATGACGGCAGGCCTGGTGTTGGGGTGGATCTGAACCAAAACCACGCCCAGGCTGGTGGCAAATGCGTCAGTGTGGACTTTGATTGGCTGCGCTTTGTCATACTGCCCCAGGCGCACTGCGTGCACAATGGCCTGTTTGAGGTCCAGAAAAGCCTGTTCAGCTGGGGCGTCCCAGCGCAGCAAGGTGCTTGGCTTAGCCGGGATGGTGCTCTGCAGCACTTTCT